CTGATTTTGTTACCAACAAACAAGGAGGGGAATTTGTCTGAGACTGTTACCAATAAACAAGGAGGGGGATTTATCTGAGTTTGTTACCAACAAACAAAAGGTGTTAACTCATCTGAGTTTGAGATAGCAGGAGAGGAATTCAACTCATCAGAGTTTGAGTTAACGGAAAAGGATTTGACATGTCTAAAAAAAATATTATTTAGCCAGGAGAGTGCATTTCAGTTGTATATTTCGTCTTGAGTTTGTTACCAAAAAACAAGGAGGGGTATTTGTCTGAGTCTGTTACCAATAAACAAGGATGGGGATTTGTCTGAGTTTGTTACCTAACAAACAAGAGGTGTATTTGTATGAGTTTGTTATCTAACAAACAAGATGTGTATTTGTGTGAGTTTGTTACCAACAAACAAAAGGTGTTAACTCATCTGAGTTTGAGATAGCAGGAGAGGAATTCAACTCATCAGAGTTTGAGTTAACGGAAAAGGATTTGACATGTCTAAAAAAAATATTATTTAGCCAGGAGAGTGCATTTCAGTTGTATATTTCGTCTTGAGTTTGTTACCAATAAACAAGGAGGGGGATTTATCTGAGTTTGTTACCAACAAACAAAAGGTGTTAACTCATCTGAGTTTGAGATAGCAGGAGAGGAATTCAACTCATCAGAGTTTGAGTTAACGGAAAAGGATTTGACATGTCTAAAAAAAATATTATTTAGCCAGGAGAGTGCATTTCAGTTGTATATTTCGTCTTGAGTTTGTTACCAACAAACAAGAGGTGTATTTGTCTGTGGTGGTTTTCTAACAAACAAGGAGGGGTATTTGTCTGATTTTGTTATATAACAAACAAGGAGATGTATTTGTCTGAGTTTGTTATCAAACAAACAAGAGGTGTTTTTGTCTGATTTTGTTACCAACAAACAAGGAGGGGAATTTGTCTGAGACTGTTACCAATAAACAAGGAGGGGGATTTATCTGAGTTTGTTACCAACAAACAAAAGGTGTTAACTCATCTGAGTTTGAGATAGCAGGAGAGGAATTCAACTCATCAGAGTTTGAGTTAACGGAAAAGGATTTGACATGTCTAAAAAAAATATTATTTAGCCAGGAGAGTGCATTTCAGTTGTATATTTCGTCTTGAGTTTGTTACCAATAAACAAGGAGGGGGATTAGTCTGAGTTTGTTACCAACAAACAAGGAGGGGAATTTGTCTGAGACTGTTACCAATAAACAAGGAGGGGGATTAGTCTGAGTTTGTTACCAACAAACAAAAGGCGTATTTGTCTGAGTTTGTTATATAACAAACAAGAGGGGTATTTGTGTGAGTTTGTTACCAACAAACAAAAGGTGTTAACTCATCTGAGTTTGAGATAGCAGGAGAGGAATTCAACTCATCAGAGTTTGAGTTAACGGAAAAGGATTTGACATGTCTAAAAAAAATATTATTTAGCCAGGAGAGTGCATTTCAGTTGTATATTTCGTCTTGAGTTTGTTACCAATAAACAAGGAGGGGGATTTATCTGAGTTTGTTACCAACAAACAAAAGGTGTTAACTCATCTGAGTTTGAGATAGCAGGAGAGGAATTCAACTCATCAGAGTTTGAGTTAACGGAAAAGGATTTGACATGTCTAAAAAAAATATTATTTAGCCAGGAGAGTGCATTTCAGTTGTATATTTCGTCTTGAGTTTGTTACCAACAAACAAGGAGGGGGATTTGTCTGAGTTTGTTACCTAACAAACAAGAGGGGTATTTGTGTGAGTTTGTTACCAACAAACAAAAGGTGTTAACTCATCTGAGTTTGAGATAGCAGGAGAGGAATTCAACTCATCAGAGTTTGAGTTAACGGAAAAGGATTTGACATGTCTAAAAAAAATATTATTTAGCCAGGAGAGTGCATTTCAGTTGTATATTTCGTCTTGAGTTTGTTACCAGCAAACAAGGAGGGGTATTTGTCTGAGTCTGTTACCAATAAACAAGGAGGGGGATTTATCTGAGTTTGTTACCAACAAACAAAAGGTGTTAACTCATCTGAGTTTGAGATAGCAGGAGAGGAATTCAACTCATCAGAGTTTGAGTTAACGGAAAAGGATTTGACATGTCTAAAAAAAATATTATTTAGCCAGGAGAGTGCATTTCAGTTGTATATTTCGTCTTGAGTTTGTTACCAACAAACAAGGAGGTGTATTTGTCCGAGTTTGTTATCTAACAAACAAGAGGGGTATTTGTGTGAGTTTGTTACCAACAAACAAAAGGTGTTAACTCATCTGAGTTTGAGATAGCAGGAGAGGAATTCAACTCATCAGAGTTTGAGTTAACGGAAAAGGATTTGACATGTCTAAAAAAAATATTATTTAGCCAGGAGAGTGCATTTCAGTTGTATATTTCGTCTTGAGTTTGTTACCAACAAACAAGGAGGGGCATTTGTCTGAGTCTGTTACCAATAAACAAGGATGGGGATTTGTCTGAGTTTGTTACCTAACAAACAAGAGGGGTATTTGTCTGAGTTTGTTATATAACAAACAAGGAGGGGTATTTGTCTGAGTTTGTTATCTAACAAACAAGGAGGTGTATTCGTCTTTTGTGTTAACCAGATTACACTGTTTATTACTTATTTATTTGATAAACTAATTGATCGCTTCATAATAATACAGATACACTACTTAATCAATTCATAATAATATTGATAAACTACTTAATCAATTCATAATAATATAGATTGAGGTAAATTTATCTGTTGGGTATTAAGTCCCTGAATATTAAGCTTTAGATCTGTATTTCTGATATTTTTTTAGTTTGAGTAAATCATCCAAACTAATTAGTATAATAGAATACAATTTAAATTCAGGTCACATCATGTCTCTGAAATGAATTCAAGATTGTGATCTTTCTGAACTTATTCTCCATTTGGGTATATCATTAATATTTCAGGCAGTTCTTCAGAAATTATTTATTGCATTACAGATACATAATTCAAAGTCTTCGGCTTTTTATGGCTACTCAGAATAGACAGGTAAATGGAAAGGACTGAGATCAGGGAACCAAAGCCAAGGTTGTAGTTGTGTTGGGACTCCTAGGAGGCTTGAGGAGGCTCGAGGAGGCTCGGAGGTCTGGTGTAGAAAGGTTACAGAATCCTATACAAGTGTGCTCTGTGTTATAGGTTTTAGTTCCCCCTCAGTGGTAGTAAATGGTGGTAGTGAGACTAGCAGCTTGGTTGTTTTACAAGATATTGTTGGGCTGATGTTATCCAATGTCGGGGGAAATAGATACCTTTGAAATAAGAATAAAAGTTTTCTTCTTTCCTTGCAGTTAGAATTTAAGGACAAAACATATCTATAGCAGATATTTGTTGAAAACATTTTTTAGTTTGTCTGTCATGAAAAGGTTTGTAAATGTATGCTTTGGCACACTATCCTTGTGTTTGTTTAAGTTTGGTTTATTTACTGATACAGGATCTGTTAAGATCCTCTACACTGGACATAAAATTACTGAAATCTTTAACATTGAATGAATGTGACGTTACTTGGATCATTAACATATATCAGATTCGCATTATTTTTTTTATAAATAAAAGTGATAAAAGTTGTTAGTTTTCGGGCAGAATTTGATAAAAGTCTGCACCTATTACAGTATGTGATTAAGATGTATTCAATCCAGCAGACAGTGTCACTGTACGGTTGACAGTGTTGTAAGGCTGGATAATGATAATATTGATGTTTTCTTGATGGTTCTATGGTTGTGTGTACAAGGGATTTGATTATTTTGTTAAGTTGTCCATCCATTATATTGTACCTGTCAGACAAGTAGGTCATTGGGTCAGTCCTGCTGGTCCTACTCCTACTTAATAATACACACAGGTGACCCCAAGCTTACCTGATTGGCCGCCTCATCTGTCACTGCCCTTCAGTGTACAGGTAGGCTCCAAACTGTAAGCTTGAGCAGCCTAAAATTCTCATCTAAGATGCATGTATTGGTTCTAAAATAGAAATTTATAAAAAATAATAATCATGTGATATGTTAAGATATAAAACAATCACGTTATCTCATTAAAAAGGATATTAAAACATTTGATAAATTGAAGATGTAATTGGAGTAATTATTAAAAGCTAACAAGCTTTCGGCAATGTACAGGTGTCTCCAGCAGGTGGGCATGGATGGCTGAATATCCAACCAATCAACTCTCCCGTTGACAGGAAGGGCTAGAGGGCAACCAATGAGGCGCCAGCTCGGATCATAAACTGTTTCACAATTTACAAGTAGGAAACATATTCTAGGAAATTCAACAGTAATACTGACAAAGTTTGTACACAGTTTTGGCACTTCTTCTCCTACTCCCATATAACAACAGATCGTGTCTTCATGTAATATTTTTTCATGTCATAACCTTCTGTGTGATCGTTCTTACTCCACCCCAGGCGATGTCGGTAACCACACCTGTCTCTAATCACAGCAGAACCTCGTTAATATTAATTCAAGTTGTCTGGAAAAACCCACTTTTGTATTTTAATTTGGTCAGTAGGTTTATTTGGTGACAGTATATAATAAGATGGATGGAAAAGGTGCAGTTAGGGAAGGGAGAGAAAAGGTGCAGTTAGGGAAAGGAGGGAAAGGGTGCAGTAAATAAAGAAATGGAAAAGGTGCAGTAAATAAGGAAATGGAAAAGGTGCAGGTAGGGAAGGGAGGGTAAAGGTGTCAGTTAGGGAAGGGAGGGAAAAGGTGTCAGTTAGGGAAGGGAGGGAAAAGGTGCAGTAAATGAAGAAATGGAAAAGGTGAAGTAAATGAAGAAATGGAAAAGGTCCAGTTAGGGAAGGGAGGGAAATGGTGCAGTAAGTGAAGAAATGGAAAAGGTGCAGTTAGAGAAGGGAGGGATAAGGTGCAGTTAGGGAGGGGAGGGAAAAGGTGCAGTAGATGAAGAAATTGAAAAGGTGCAGTCAGGGAAGGGAGGGAAATGGTGCAGTAAGTGAAGAAATGGAAAAGGTGAAGTAAATGAAGAAATAGAAAATGTGCAGTTAGGGAAGGGAGGGAAAAGGTGCAGTAAATGAAGAAATTGAAAAGGTGCAGTTAGGGAAGGGAGGGAAATGGTGCAGTAAATGAAGAAATGGAAAAGGTGCAGTAAATAAGGAAATGGAAAAGGTGCAGGTAGGGAAGGGAGGTAAAGGTGCAGTTAGGGAAGAAATGGAAAAGGTGCAGTTAGGGAAGGGAGGGAAAAGGTGCAGTAAATGAAGAAATGGAAAAGGTGCAGTTAGAGAAGGGAGGGAAATGGTGCAGTAAATGAAGAAATGGAAAAGGTGCAGTAAATAAGGAAATTGAAAAGGTGCAGGTAGGGAAGGGAGGGTAAAGGTGCAGTTAGGGAAGAAATGGAAAAGGTGCAGTTAAGGAAGGGAGGGAAATGGTGCAGTAAATGAGGAAATGGAAAAGGTGCAGTAAATAAGGAAATGGAAAAGGTGCAGGTAGGGAAGGGAGGTAAAGGTGCAGTTAGGGAAGAAATGGAAAAGGTGCAGTTAGGGAAGGGACGGAAAAGGTGCAGTAAATAAAGAAATGGAAAAGGTGCAGTTAGGGAAGGAAGGGAAAAGGTGCAGTTAGGGAAGGGAGGGAAAAGGTGCAGTAAATGAAGAAATGGAAAAGGTGCAGTTAGGGAAGGGAGGGAAAAGGTGCAGTAAATGAAGGAAGGGAAAAGGTGCAGTTAGGGAAGGGAGGGAAAAGGTGCAGTTAGGGAAGGGAGGGAAAAGGTGCAGTAAATGAAGAAATGGAAAAGGTGCAGTTAGGGAAGGGAGGGAAAAGGTGCAGTAAATGAAGAAATGGAAAAGGTGCAGTTAGGGAAGGGAGGGAAAAGGTGCAGTAAATGAAGAAATGGAAAAGGTGCAGTTAGGGAAGAAAGGGAAAAGGTGCAGTTAGGGAAGGGAGGGAAAAGGTGCAGTAAATGAAGAAAGGGAAAAGGTGCAGTTAGGGAAGGGAGGGAAAAGGTGCAGTTAGGGAAGGGAGGGAAAAGGTGCAGTAAATGAAGAAATGGAAAAGGTGCAGTTAGGGAAGGGAGGGAAAAGGTGCAGTAAATGAAGAAATGGAAAAGGTGCAGTTAGGGAAGGGAGGGAAAAGGTGCAGTAAATGAAGAAATGGAAAAGGTGCAGTTAGGGAAGGGAGGGAAAAGGTGCAGTAAATGAAGAAATGGAAAAGGTGCAGTTAGGGAAGGGAGGGAAAAGGTGCAGTAAATGAAGAAATGGAAAAGGTGCAGTTAGGGAAGGGAGGGAAATGGTGCAGTAAATGAAGAAATGTAAAAGGTGCAGTAAATAAGGAAATGGAAATGGTGCAGGTAGGGAAGGGAGGGTAAAGGTGCAGTTAGGGAAGAAATGGAAAAGATGCAGTTAGGGAAGGGAGGGAAAAGGTGCAGTAAATGAAGAAATGGAAAAGGTGTCAGTTAGGGAAGGGAGGGAAAAGGTGCAGTTAGGGAAAGGAGGGAAAAGGTGCGGTTAGGGAAGGGAGGGAAAAGGTGCAGTAAATGAAGAAATGGAAAAGTTGCAGTTAGGGAAGGGATGGAAAAGGTGCAGCTAGGGAAGGGTGGGAAAAGGTGCAGTAAATAAGGAAATGGAAATGGTGCAGGTAGGGAAGGGAGGGAAAAGGAGCAGGAAATAAAGAAATGGAAAAGGAGCAGTAAATAAGGAAATGGAAAAGGTGTCACGTCGGGAAGGGAGGGAAAATGTGTCAGTTAGGGAAGGCAGGGAAAAGGGGCAGGAAAGGAAGAAAGGGAAAAGAGGCAGGGAGGGAAGGGAGGGAAAAGTTGCAGTTAGGGAAGGAAGGGAAAAGGTGCAGTAAATAAAGAAATGGAAAAGGTTTCAGTAAGGGAAGGGAGGGAAAAGGTGCAGTAAATGAAGAAATGGAAAAGGTGCAGTTAGGGAAGGGAGGGAAAAGCTGCAGTTAGG